TCAACTTCAACTCCATCGGGTCGGCCGACCAAGATGGCACACATGTTTTACGCTCACCAACAACCCACTATTAAACTTTCCCCTAAGAGCGACCTGCACCTTTGCCACTGCCACCGCCACATCCCACAGCGCTGCTGCAAACCAAAATTCAAAGAAATTTACAAGACCCGCCTACTCCTCATTTTTTCGTTTTTCAAATTCACAATCATCCTTGGTTGCTCTTTACCACCGCCGCCTTGGAGCCCCAAACTCTTATCTTCCTCATCTAATGCCATCTTCGTGAATTGATACTCAAGCTCTTCCATCAAAACCCTACCAGTTGCTATTGTGCTCCTCTCGTGGCGACTCATACAAAAGTGGCGTCGAAAAACTCCTTCGCATGGTGTACGTGAAGACCTAGAATGCTCTTTTTGTATTTATGATCTTATAAAAAGGGAACATTCCCAAAACATGAGTAGAAACATTTTGGAATTCCAAAATTGGACGTACTGTCATATTTTTATTCTCTAAATTTGAGTAATTATTGTCATGCCTAGAAAATGCTGCTATGTTAAAAGTTTTGCAATGTCAAAACATGGTTAAATTTTGACTGAATCAGATGATTTCGTTTAAATTGGTGAAATTTTAACTCAACTGGTTGAGTATGCTTAATTATAAAAAGTTAAATTATGTTTTAGTTTAAAACAAAGAAAATTATGAAAATTATTAAAGTAGTTTTCTTAATCAATTCAACGAGAAAAGTAATTATAATCCTACTTATTTTGACTATTACGTAATTCAACGCACGAAATGAAAAGTTTAAGTGTTTGATAAAACAAAATTGACAGAGCGGATAATGATCCTCTTTTGTATGGGAGTATTTTTGCAACATAAGAATGAAGCCGCGATTGCTGGTACAAGACGTAGGATGGGGAATGACAAATAAATTTTAGTTTGGCGGATGCTTGGCTACCTAGAAAAGATTTAGACATAGTTCAATCAGAGAGGCCAAAAGGTATTTGGGATATGAATGTAGCAGTTGAAAATTGAAACATCTGACGTATAAGTCATATGTTTAATTTGTTTTTTTGGATGAAATGTAAATATATATTAACACCCAAAGAAAAACTATACATCATGCGTTTTAGATCTCCTAAAACCCCCCCACCCCTACCTAGCGTAGGGGTTAGAAGAGGTTTTTATTCGATCTAGTCCAAAATCAAAAATCAGGGGCCTAAGTATAACATACCCAATGCCCTAGGCTAAACAAAATCAGAATCAGTGCTGCAAGTGTGCACGCACATAGCTCTTCCAAAAATAAAAAATCAGGCCATAGTCAAAGGAGGTTGCGGTGTGTGCTCCTTTAACCCCAAAAAACAAAACTAGGAAATCGCGATGCAAGCTGCATCCACACTGCTCCACATGCCGCAGCTTCAGAGGCTCTCCCATGCCGCGGCATCACAGTTCACACATGCCGCGGCTTCCAAGTTGTAGTCCAACGCCATTCATCAAAACTTAATCATCTCACACGGGTATATGTTGAAAAGTATCTTATATACCACGTGTTTAATTTTAGCAACTAGTTCGTCTTCACTCTTGTTTGCGTCATCAAATCGGTTAGCATTCCTAGCATGCCAAATGTGATATATAGTAGCACAAAAGGCAGCCCGAACTGCTTTTCCCATCAACTTTGATCCCTTGTGGTCCTTCAAGATCCATTTGACCGAGCTAGACATCGTGGTCATTTGATGCGTCATCCCAAGCCAAATCCTAATTCGCTCCCATACCCTACAAGTGAAAGGGCAAACAAAGAAAAGGTGTGGCATTGACTCCAAGCCACCCTTGCAAAGATCACATCTATTCACAATATGCAAATATTCAAGGTTATCCTGGGTAGGTAACCTATTTCGGAACGCAAGCCAAACATTAAAAGAGAATTTGGGAGGGATGTAAGATTTCCAAATAAAGCTCATCCATACCTTAGCCTTCCCCTTTGTTCTCAATAATTCATAAATTTTGCTAGAAATCAGTTTACCGTTGATGGATCTAGAGGCTAAACCCATAACAGTATCATTCTGGTTATTAAAATGACCTTTGATTTTGTCCCTTATTATAGCCAAACTCTTCATGAAAGTCGAATCACGGCTGTGTGGGATGAAATCCCACACACTTCTGCCCTTGAGGTAAATTCCATTAACCCATTTCACCCAAAGAGTGTCCTTCTTAAGGTGGACATCCCAGAGCGTTTGGGAAAGGAGGGTCTGATTCCAAACCTTGGCATTACGAATGCCAATGCCCCCTTCCTCATTGGGAAGGCAGATATCATCCCATGCCACTTCGGCATACTTCCCTCCCCATAGGAACACTCTACAAATGGAAACAATACGATCCAGGATGGTCCGCGGTACGGGAAAGACTTGTAGCCAAAAAGATTGGACCCCCTGGATCACAGATCTAATTAGCTCAATCTTCCCGGCATAAGAGATAGATTTTGTATTCCATGCATTCAAAAAATCTAAAATCGTATCAAGCAAAGGGGCATATTGTGCCACCGAAACTTTAAGTGGGGCAAGGGGAATCCCCAAATATTTAACCGGAAACTCACCCTTCCCAAAATCAACAATGTCCAGAATGTTTTGTAAATAAAATTCATTAACCCTACCTATAAAGATGTTAGATTTTTTGTAATTCACCCTAGGGCCCGATGCATCCCCAAATTCTTGTAGAGCTTTGACAAGAGTTTCAATTGAGACCTTGTCGCCCCTAGAGAATAGCATAAGATCATCCGCATAGGCCAAATGCGCAATCTTAAGAGGCTCACATTTTGGATGAAATTTAAAACTTGGATTCTTGGTTTTCAAGTTAAGAAGTCGAGAAAAGTACTCTAGGCATTCACAAATAAGAGGGGAGACATTGGATCTCCTTGACGAATACCCCTTTTTCCCTAAAAGAAACCCATATAGTGATCCGTTTAGAGAAACAGAAAACGATGTCGTGGTAACACATGCCATAATCCATCCCACAAATCTCGAAGGGAGGCCCAAGCCCTTGAGAACCGCCTCAAGGAAATCCCAAGAAATAGTATCATAGGCCTTTCGCAAATCCACCTTGATCATACATCTTGGTGAAATTCGCTTTCTCGTGTATCCTCTAACAAGTTCCTGGGCAAGGAAAATGTTATCAATCATGAGACGGCCATCCACAAAAGCGCCTTGGGCATGGTCAATTAATCCCGGAAGACACGGAATTAATCTAGCCGCAAGAATTTTCGTAATAACTTTGTATAGGACATTCGTACAAGAAATGGGTCTATAGTCCGAGACTTTTGGGGAGTGATTTGTTTTTGGGATAAGCGCTATGACAGTGTGGTTGATCTGTTTTAGCAACTTTCCCGAACTAAAAAACTCCTTAACCACAAGGACTATGTCATTCCCAACAACATTCCAATTCACCTTAAAGAAGGCAGATGAATATCCATCCGGACCCGGAGCCTTATCATTGCCTATATCAAATAGGGCATTTTTAATGTCCATCGATGTTACCGGGGCAATGAGGCTCTCATGAGCGCTAGGCTCAATTAATGGACCCGAAGGTAAAATCAAGGGGTCCAGGTCCAGGCAAGTGGCATTAGTTCCAAATAAATTAATGAAAAAGTTTACAAATTCATTTCCCACTTGATCCAAAGAGGTGGTAAGGGTACCATCCTCCAAGGTAAGTGATGAAATAGCATTCCTGGCCAGGTTCCTCTTGACGATCGCATGGAAATATTTGGTGCACCTGTCCGCCTCTAGTATATGCGTAGCCTTAGCCCTCTGTTGGAAGAAGGTTGTTTCGGCTTCACCTAGGAAAGTGGCTTTCTTTGAAGCTATGGACAGTTGGGCCTTGATTTCTTGATCCCCCGGATCTAGAAGCGCCAATCTATGCAACCGTTTGAACTCTTCCTTTGCCGTCTTTGCCCTACTAGAGATATGACTAAATTCCGCGGCGTTGAGATTTTTTAGGGGCCGTTTAAGTCCCTTAAGTTTCTTCACCAACCTGAATTGAGCCGTACCTACAAAATTCTGACTCCAATGCGAGGCTAAGATATTAGCAAAATCAGTGTGTTTAAGTCACATGTTAAAAAATTTAAACGATTTGGGTCTAGGAGAGGAGTTTAAGAGTATTGACACTACGGATACCGTATGGTCAAACTCGACCTACATTTCATGGAAATGGACCCTACAACCGATGCCTTTGATTCCCCACACTTCATTTATTAGTACACGATCCAATTTGGCCCAAAGCGCGCCTTTGTTCCGAGTGAAGAACTCTCCCGTGGAGGGCGCATCTTCAAGGCTATTGGCAACCTTAAAATCAAATAAGTGTTGCATTACATACACCGTAGGGGGGGTAGGACCCACCCTTTCATTGGGCGTAGCAATACAATTAAAATCGCCACACACCATCCAATGTTCGGACACTTGATCACCAACCAAAGTCAATTGGTCCCAAAGGGCCTTCCTTTCTAGGAGCGTGTATAATGGATAGACAAAAGAAACAAAGAAAGGGGTTTGTGCAATACAACACACACACCTTGCAATTAAAAATTGTTCGTCTCTTTCAAGAAAATCAAACCTAATTAAGCTTGGATTCCACGTGACCGCAATTCTCCCTCCATTTATCAAGTCAATGTTATTCTCAAAAGTCCAACCCGGCCACTTATTTGAAATATAGTTATTTAATGTGGCCAAAGTCATTTTAGTTTCCAAAAAACATACAAAACAAATATTATTTGATTTTATATAAGATGTAATTAGATTATGTTTAGAGGCCTTATTTAGCCCCCCTAACATTCCATACCAAACACTTTGTCATCAAGTGAGATAAAGATCCGTGGTGGGACCTCCACCCACGGCTGCACTCTTCCTTGCACTTCTTCTTTCTCTCCTCAATAGCTCCTTGTAGTTTGTGAGTCTGTGACAAGTAGAGAATGGTTATATAACCCAAAGCTGCTATAAGAGACTTGTTAGAGTGTTTTCAGTTAGCAAACTAGAATGGCTCGCTGACGGCTTGAGAAATGTAAACATTTCATTAATCAGGAGAGTACAGGTGGGTAGTGGGTATCTAGTCTTTCATCTTTGGCAAGGAATACATATTTTGGGGACCGGCTAAAGTGGGTTTCTAATAGTCTATTAGAGGAGGATATTTGCAGAGTGTGGCGTGCTGCTTCTGCTACGCTAACAAGTTGGAGAGGATCACAGGGAAAGTAAGTAATCTAAAGTTGCAAATGAGATGGATAGGGAGGTCAGGTGACAAAAATCCAAAAGTGACTAATTAAGATGCGGCTGCTGATTCCAGATCAGGACGGTAAGCTTTGGTTAGATTGGACGGGACTGCAATGGTGCGTTTATTAAAGGTTGCACCCTGGTCACCGATTGAAGCAGATGCATTGAGAGTTAGAGTGCCCGTTAAACATGTGAGAATAATTGAATAAAGTAGAAGATCGAAATGGATATATGATAGTATTCGAGATTTCCCGTGTGTGAGGGGAGGCCAATCTATCCAATTTGGGGGTTATATATGAAGGTATTAAACATCTCATAAGATATTTAAATGGAGATAAGGGTCAATTGAGTACATCAACTTGTATGAGGTGGAGTAAAGAGTACACTATATTGCATTTGGCATTCCTAAGTATATAAACTCAAGTTTTTGGAGTTAATTGAGCATATCGTTAGATTAACACGTTAATACGATTGAGTTGGATAACAAAATACTAATAGGTCGACTTTCTGAAGGTTGATACAGCCCCAATTACCAAGGGGTTGGCCAACCTCTTGGTCGACGCCAACCCCCGCAGGTTGACTTCCCCTTGGTTGATGCACCCCAATACATTGATCTCCGAAGGTCAATGCCAGAACCTTCATCGACTTTCCCTTTTTGGTCGACTTACCCTTGGTCGATGCACCATCACAGGTTGACGACCTGAAGTTCAATGCCAGAACCGTGGTTGGGTCAACTACCCCTTTTTGATCGACTTCGTGAAGGCCAACGCACGAACATTGGTTGAATTCTCATGTGACGACTACCCCTTTTAACGTGTTAATCTAACAAGTGTACTCAATTAGAACTAAAAACCGAGTTTATGTACTTAGGAATGTGAGGTGCAATATAATGTACTCTTTACTTCACGTCATACAAATTGATGTACTCAATTTACCCTTTGATCATACTCAAATGTGTTAAAGTGAAGTGGTGTGATCATGTACAAGATTAATGAATCTTACGGTGCGGGTTGCTACTAAAAAAATTATACAGAGTATGTAATAGAATGTACTTCGTATGATGGTTGGCTTATATGATATTCAAATATAAGTATTGTGACTATCGTGTATTATCGATTTAGGGGTGCTTGTATGAATTCTTAAAACTGTTTCTGCTCCTTCAAGAAGTAGAAACAAATATTAGAGTGTTTGGGTCAAAATTCAAAAGTACTTCTGCTCCAAATTCAGAAGTAACTTCTAAAAAACGATTTTAATTCTGCTTTTTAAAAACAAGCATAAACGGAATGAGTTCCAAACGCTCCCTGCCATAACAAATGAGTTCAAAATTTAGGGGGGGAGGGGCAAATAAGGTCACGTACTAACAAAAAAAGATCAAATAAGGCCTTATTTATGAGACTCTGTCCGGCCTTTGCCATTTGAGTTGGTTCTCGATGGAATTTTTTGATGAAATTTTTTGAACATCTTATTCAGTAAGTCTAGTTTACTCATACCAAATTTAAGCTAAAAATTCAATCGGGAAACCATTCAAATGAATTCTTTAAGATAATTGTGCAGTTAAAAGCGCAGTTATCTTCAAGAATTCATTTGAATGCCTTCTCGTATAAATTTTTATCTTAAATTTTGTATGAGTAAACTAGACTTAATGAATAAGATGGTAAAAAAAATCATCAAAAAATTCCACCGAGAACCATCTCAAATGGTGAAGGCCGAACAGAGCTTCATAAATAAGGCCTTATTTGACCTTTTTTGCTTCTTTTCCCAAATTTAGGGCATAAGTTGCGCTCTAAATAGCTGATAGCTTCTTCATAAATCCTAACCCACCATATGTCATACTCCGTACGAAGTATGACCATATCCATCCATGTCCATGCTCTCACACTACCTTGGCCTTGGGTCTATTCCCTGGACATCTGCTATGGAGATTTGGATGGAGCTACGTGTCGCTTTATCCTCAATCCATAGATTCCGTTCCTGAAATTTCATCCAGCAGATTCCTTCCTTTTCTTTTTTTCAATTTCAATTGTAGAAAGAAAACCATGTCTTTCACAATCCTCTCATCCTCATGCTTTTCTCTTCGCAATTCCGAAGTTTCATCTCCGCCTCCCACTGTTTATCCTCTTTTAATTAAACCCCATTTTCATCACTTTGAGAAATCGCATTATCTTCCACTTTTTCCTGATTATTTTTCACTTTTCGTTAATCCTAACAAAAAAAATTATTCCATGTCGACCGGTGCTAAAGATGCCCTCTCGTGTAGAGCCTCGCCGTCGTCCCCCTCTTTCCGGCCGAATTCCGGCGAGAGAAGCGGGAACCAATTCTCCAGCCCAAATGAAGGAGATGAGGATGAAGATTCTGACGATGAAGAGCATGATGAAGTGACTGCTCATGATATGGATATGGAAGATGATTGTAGTCCCACTTCCGTTTTTTCTCAGAGATGGGATGTGTTGGGACTTGGTCAAGCTATGGTGATTTTTCTATTCCTCCATTGTACATTAACTTACGCGCCTAGCTTTTGCCTATTCATGTTCATCCCATTGCGAGCTGAGAGAGTTTGTTCAAGTAGATGATTGTTGTTTGGAAATAAATTTGTTTACCTTGAATTCCATTTTACCCTGTGTAATTCAAATCATTTCTTATATATGAGTGTAGTATTTAACTTTGATGTTGGTGATAAATTAGGGGTAAACCAAATTGCTATTTGTTTTCTGATGAATTGTTTTGTACATCCTTGCAACCCAATACCCATATGTCCCGCAATGCTAGAGGTGTTCACAAATCACAAGTTAACAAATTTCCAGATGAAATGGCATGCTAGAAAACTGTGTATATAAACAATTATACATGTGAGTTATTTGTTTTCTTTGACAAGATTAGTTCTGTTCACGAGATTAATGTGTTTTGGAAACCATATAAATATGCTTTGGATCAGAGCATTGCCAATGGTTTAATATATATTTTGAGCATTCACTCTACATCTCTGATTGCTAATAATGTCTTGAAACTTCAATTGGTATACTGTTTGCATGGTTTCTGAAATAATTCTATCTATTAATAGTTGAGGGGCACAGCTAATACTGTGAGTAATTATATCTTTAGGTGTCTGTTTGGAACACAAAAAATAATTGCAAGGAAAGAAAATTTGGGAGAGTAAAAGATAGACTCGAACTTAATAAATTAATTTTTCATGTGTTCAAACTCATTATATTTATCTATTTATTGATTTACTTAATTATTTATTTGTATTATACAAAATTCCCGAATCTCATCCAAATATATGTAGAAGTTATAAACACTTGAATCAAATCTTATTTCTTTTGCAGTTTCTGGGGTAAAATCAAACACTATAAAATAAGTAAATAACTTCCCTTGACATTTCTGTTTCCTTTCTCCAAACATCCCAAAGTAGTCATATATTTTTCCCCTTTTGAGATGCTAGGTTGATTTCTCGGGCATGGTTGATGAAAACTTTCTGGAGAGACTTGGATTAGATAAGGGTACAAGGAAGGTTGTGAACCATGAAGAGAGGGGTAAAATCCTGCGTGCAATGGATGGGTGCAGTTACAAGGCTGCTGCTGGTGGGTCCCTTTCCAATAGTTTGGTGGCGTTGGCCAGACTCGGTCTTCAACCTATTGGAGGCCCACCTTTGAGTATAGCCATGGCAGGCAGTGTTGGAAGCGATCCACTGGGTGGATTCTACAGGTCCGCTCTCAACTTAGCATTTTGTTTTCTTTAACTACTAAAATAAGGGGGGTTTCCACTTTTTGTATAATACGGAGTATTACGAAAATAGAACTCATTGGCACAAATATGACTACATAGTCACTACTGACCTACAGTCATTGCAATTTGCAAAAGTATCATCACTATGGTTATTGCATGTTAAAAGCCATACCTTTGTCCATTATTTTTAGGGAAAATGGAAACTAATAATCCAACCTTTTAGCGGTTTTCTTACAATAGTCCCACCTTTTGATTATTCATGAATAATCCAACCTTTGCACCCCATCTTCATTCACTGGTCCCTTACCGATTTATGACCTTTTTTCCAAGTTATTTTCTTATCTTTGTAAAACATTATACCATAATTCCCACCTTATGATCACATAATGTTTTGCAAAGATAAGAAAATAACTTGGAATAACAGGTCATAAATCGGCCAGGGACAAGTGAATGAAGATGGGGTGCAAAGGTTGGATTATTCATGAATAATCAAAAGGTCGGACTATGGTAAGAAGACCACTAAAAGGTTGGATTATTAGTTTTCATTTTCCCTTATTTTTATTTTTGTAATGTATTTGTCGTTTTTCATTAAATTATGGCAAGTTTATCTGGTTTAGATCCAAACTGCGGCGAGCAAATGTGAACTTCTTATCCACACCGATCAAAGATGGAACCACGGGAACTGTAATAGTTCTCACAACACCAGATGCTCAGCGCACGATGCTTGCGTATCAGGTAAAATTTTGCTCTTTCACTTTTTTGGCTCCAAAAAATCAAATCCCTTTTAGCATTTACACACATAAATGGTTGATTTTAATAAGAATGTAAACCTAAAAGTAAGTTGCCACTAAGCAATTGCATTTTTGCTTTCCTGTTTTTGTCCAAAAGTTATGAAGGTGATGTAATTTTTTTTCCTCTTGTTTGTAGGAAGCTTCTCAAGCTTTAGGGTCTGTTTGGAAGACAATAAAATATGGGGGGAAATAAAAATGTACACTAAAACAGTACAAGTCGACAGATTTATTTTTGATACTTTTTTATACTCATTTTATTTATTTTTGTATATTTTATAAACACTATGTTATGAAAAAAGTTATATTTAATTTACTTTTGGATTTCCTATAATAAAAAAGTATAATCAAATAACTTTCATGCATGTTTTTCCCTTTCCCTAACTATTTCACTGATTCAAACATTCTTTTATGTTTTTTTCAATTCCAAAAACCCCTCCTCTAGTATTATAAAATATTAGGATCAATTACATATTTACATGAGAAATCGAATATATCTTATCTCTATTCAATCTTTTGCTCGTAACTTTTGTTCTTTTCATGCTCTTGGTTCTAGGGTACATCTTCAAGCATTAGATATGAGCCCTTCTTGGCTAGAGCAATCTCAAAAACAAACATATTAGTTGTAGAGGGATATTTATTTGAACTCCCTGATACAGTAAAAACGATCGCAAAAGCATGTGATGATGCCCGTAGGTCTGGTACACTGATTGCTATCACAGCTTCTGACGTCTCTTGCATCGAGCGGCACTATGACGATTTCTGGTAAGCCTTCTCTCTTGACCCTTTTTCCACAGGGAGCTGGACCCTACTTCTTCATCTAAATTTTAATTTGCACCCTATATTTGAAATCATTAATATTTGCACCCAAAGGGAAGCAAGCTTCAATTCAGAAGAAAAGATGGGTTGCAATTATTAATGATCTCAAAGATAGGGCGTGAACTAAAATCTGAGTGAGAAAGGGGCCTCAGCACAACAATAAGGCTGTTCTTTTTTTATAAGTTGGTCAGGTTGATTTTTTTTTATTTCCATCATTTGCAATGGAGCCAAAGATTCATAATTTTTTGGCTTGAGATTATGATGGAATAAATCAAAATGGCTCACTAAACTGTCTGCGCTTCTTTGTTATGAAGCAGCAGTCGGTCCATGCAATTTTGGACGCGATTTTCACTGTGGGTCATCCGGAAACAGTCGCTCTGTGCTTTAGTACATGGGTAAGACTGCGTACATCGACCCCCCTTACCCCACCGTAGGTGGGAGCCTTTGCGGCACTGGGGTAAATAAAAATGATGATGATGATGGTTAGGTTGATTTTTTAATATGATATATCAGGTTTTAACATAACCTGAGGGCATGTATTAAGCTTCAAACAAGCAAGTTGTGGCCGATAAACATAAAGAACGAGTACTCACTTAAAGATTGGTTTGTCTTAGGGAACCCATAATGTGGCAGGGCATGTTAAGTCTTCCTACATTGACAATTATGAAAGTATATGAATATATAATGTCTGGGGCTGATATTTGTGATCAATAAAAACTACCACTTGTTCCCAAAAAAAAATGTCTGGGGCTGTTGTCCCCCCACTGCTTAGGATGAAAGTCTAAGTTTTGATGTTTGACAATTATTAAATATATAATATTATGTATACAATTTATTTGAGCAGGGAAATTGTTGCAAACTTTGGGGACATTGTATTTGCAAATAGTGACGAAGCCCGGGCTATGTGTCATTTTAAGTCAAATGAAAGCCCCATATCTGCGGCGAGGTACCTAAGCCATTTTGTTCCATTAGTTTCAGTTACGGACGGTCCAAGAGGCTCCTACATTGGTGTAAAGGGGGGAGCTATTTTTATTCCTCCTTCCCCATGCATGCCTTTAGATACTTGTGGTGCGGGTGATGCTTACGCATCAGGCTTTTTGTATGGGATGCTTCGTGGCGTACCCAACTTGAAGGTTATGGGTACCATTGCAGCTAAGGTTGCATCTGTAGTTGTAGGGCAGCAAGGCACCCGGCTTAGGGTACATGATGCCATTGGATTGGCAGAATCGTTCGAGTACCAGCTTAAGAAATCACCCATTTGGTCTGCCGATATTGGTTCAGATCAAATCTCCAGCTTGTAAACTTCAAACCCATTGTAATTATTCCCACCATTGATTGTAATTATCTGGCATAGATTCATAGTCACCCCTAGTTGACCAACTCTGGTCCAATTCCTAATTTACCTAATTTTGTGTGAAACACATTTTCCTTCCGTTGTTGTGGCTAGTGAAACAGAGCATGTAGAATGTAAATAATTCTAAGCAGGTGTAACCAACCTGAAACGGAAAAGGAGGTCGGCACACAGGAACGGGTGGGGCCCTATGCCTGCTTTGTGCATGGCGACCGTGGATGGGTCAGGCCATGCACTTTCATCTGGTAGTGTCGCCAACTGCTATCAGCCGTTTCAAATAAAATAAATTATTCATTTGGTAAATTAGGCAACTCGGATTATTTGGGATTTTGGGGCCATTTTGACAGTTGTTAACTTGTTATACCGTGGGAGCAGCGTACTGTGAGCATGCTGCTCCCACCTAAAAAATTCGCGTGTTACTGTTCACGCGCGTGAACAGTAACATTTTTTTTTTGTTTTTCATTGTTAAGGAGTAGAATGATGTAACTTGCGTGTAAAGAAATGTAACTCAAGTTGATAAAAAATGTAACCGCAGGCAGGTCGAAATGTAACTTGTTTAATATGGATAATAAAAAATAAAATATCGATTTCAATAAAAACAATGAGTTTAATTGCTTAATTACTTTACCTAAATAGTGAATGTGTTTGGTTTTTAACATTAAGACCATAAAAATGTTGTTTAAAAAATATTTTTTTCCTAAAAAACATTTATTACCACAAAAAGTGATTGTTATACTAAAAATATCTTCTTTTTGCAAAAAAAAAAAAGAAATTTTTTGCACTTGATTATTTTGTGATGTAACACATGTTATGAAAATGTAAAACGCGTTGATGAAAAATCTAAGTTAAATATATGCAAAATATAACTTGTTAAGGCAAGTTCAAATATAACTCACATATAGAAATATGTAACTCACGTGTAAAAAAGTTGTAATTCACTCATAAGAAGATGTAACTTCATATATTATCACATGTAAACAATGAAAATAAGGAATCACATGTAAATTTTCCAATACTGTATAAAATTTATAAACAATATTTTTGATCTAGATGCGTAAATAAAGTTAATTGTTCTAAGCCATATTACATACGAAGTATATACGTATGCACCCACTACTCCAAAACCAAAGAAGGGCTCAATCCTCAGTTCCAGGTCGTTGAAGGAAAGAGGGAGCCAAAGCAGAAGGGTCAGAGCCGTCCGCCTAGCAACCGCAGCTCCAGAGAAAATGGAAATCGCTAGGGAAGGAATCAGACCGCCGGAGTTGCATACTCTGTTTTAACACTTGCGCAACAACGAAGTCGGCAACAAATTTTACGGAATAAGGGTTTCTGTTTTTTTTAATTAACAATACTACGTAATAGAATTATTAGAGGCTTAGTATTGTACTTTACATTAAACTCTCTTTAATATAAATATATCTGTCAGGGTTCCTTAGGGAGTAACCTTTCCCATTATTCTCACATGGTATCAAGAGCACATTAATTACTTTTCCGATCCTCTCTCTAAAAAAATTTCCGACGCCGCGTGCAATACCCTAGAACCGCCGCCGTCTACAAAAATTCTGCCGTCTTCCGCCGCGACGCACACCATGGCAGCTCCGACGTCGCAAGTTTCTGCAGCTCTCAGCCAGCCGACTTCTCTTCCGGCAGGTTCGACCAACACCACTGTCTCGACCGGCGCTCCCTCATTCTTCGGATCGCTGTCGTGGAACAGTTCCTTCTCCTCCGGCGTGACCTTCTCCTCCAATTTTGCGTCTCCAAGTCAGGCCTCTATGCCATATCCCCTTTTTCAAAATTTCCCACCGGCGTTTCCATGGTCAGCCCCTACTCCTGTGCAGGTTGTTCCGCTCGAACCACCCCCACTCGTCGGAACTGGCTTTGCCGGCCCCACGCTCGTCGGCTCGCCTGGTATCTCCTCCGTTGTTCCTCCCTCTCGCCCACCAGCAGGCGGCCCGGTCGGATCCTTACTTTCTGATCTGGCTCAAACCATATCTCATGTGGCCACCAATGTTACAAATATTGTGACTACTAAACTTTTGGCGGTAGAAGACTACACCACTTGGAGGACACAATTCGAATCATTTCTAGTTTCACAAGCTCTATTGGGCATGGTTGATGACTTCATTCAGGTACCCCCTGCTTATTCCATAGATGCTCTTAACCGTCAAACTCCCAATCCTGAATTTTCTACTTGGTTGAGAATTGATCAAACCATCTGTTCATGATTATTTGCAACCCTATCCAGGGATGTTCTTATCGATGTACATGATTTAAAACATTCATATGAAATTTGGGAGCGGTTGGAGTCTCGGTTTATGTCTGCCAGTTTAGCGAGATCTATGGAATTAAAGCGTTTATTTAATCAAATTAAAAAGAAACATGATCAGTCCATGGATAATTATTTGCGAGAAATTAAAACATTAGCTGATGATCTTTTCACAATCAATTGTCATGTGCCTCAGCGTGAAATTTTAAAAACTACTATTATGGGACTAGGACCTGAGTATGAATCTTTATTCACTGTTGTGTCATTATTTGGACAAAATTTCCCGTTTGAGACTCTCTGTAATCATCTTCTTGAGTTAGAGCAGCGGGTCCTTTATCTCCGCTCCCAGGAGTCCCAGTCCATTCATCAGGCGTTTGGCGCGGCTGTTTCTTCTCCCAGGCAGTCGTCTGGGCAGCAGCCGACCCAGCCGTATTCGGGATCCACGCACCCGGTCGGGCAGCAGGCTTACCCGGTCGGGCAACCGCGGCAGTATGGCGCTCCACAGTGCGGCCGAGGCCGCGGGCACGGTAGAGGCCGCGGAGGTAGGGGCGTGGCCGAGGACAGCAACAGCAGGCATACTGGTACCCCCAGAGGTAGACAGTTTATTACCTCGGAGGGGGTGGGCAGTCGAGTACACCTGCAGGGGATGTGACATCTACGGGTACTGTTATTTGTAATTCTGTTGTGTCACATTTAAATATTAATGCTTTACCTGTCTGTGTTACTAACCGTAGTTCTGCAGGCTTGCCATCAGATGGGGGTATTCTTGGGTCTGTTCCCCATCGCGTTGTCTGTCAAACTTGCTTCTCTGCAGGTCATTCTGCCATCCATTGTCCTTCTCGTTTCACACAACCGTCCTCCCCTGCTCTGTTGACTACTCCCGGTGACACTACTCCTGCTCTATGGTTTCCTGATTCAGGAGCTTCTGCTCATATGACTGCATCTGAAGGTATTTTAGTTAATAAATCTCCCTACACCGGCTATAATTCTGTTAGTGTTGCCAATGGTGCCCATCTTCCCATATGTAATGTTGGTGATGTTGCTTTACCTACATCTGGTCGTCCTCTCACTTTAAAATTTGTTTATCATGTGCCTCAGTTAAAATATAATTTAATTTCCATTAAAAGGCTCTATGCTGATAATAATTGTACTGTAATTTTTGATAAAAATTCTTTTTTGATTAAGGACAAAGCAACGGGGGCAATACTTCTGCGAGCTACCAGTAGTGGGCCACTTTATCCTCTCCATCTGTCGACATCCTCACCATTAGTTTTTGCTTCCGTTTTAGCTTCTGGCCCTGTGTGGCACCGTAGATTAGGTCACTGTGGTGATAGTATTTTACAGTTTTTTAAGAGAAAACAATTTTTATGTAGTCATACTCCCTTTACTCATGAGTGTGTGGCTTGTCGTTTAGGAAAATCACAACGTTTGCCTTTTATGGATGCTAGTCATAATTCTGTTTTTCCTTTGGAAATTATTCATTCTGATGTATGGCAGTCACCTGTGTATTCAAATTTGGGATTCAAGTATTATGTATGTTTCATTGATGATTTTTCTCGTTATACGTGGATATATCTCATGTGTCACAAAAGTGAAGTTTTTATGCACTTTAAAAATTTTAAAGCTTTGGTTGAAAATCTTTTTAATCAGAAAATTAAAATTTTTCAAAGTGATGGGGGAGGTGAATTTGTTAATAATAATATGCAGCAATTTTTTTCTACTAATGGCATTTATTTTCAAAAATCTTGTCCTGAAACACCTCAACAAAATGAGGTTCTGAGTCACTATTGGGCCGATGCCATATTCACTGCTGCATATATTATTAATAGATTACCCTCTCCTACCTTAAAGGGCTTTTCTCCGTACTAAAAACTTTTTAACCGTGTTTCGGATTACTCCTTTATGCGAGTATTTGGTTGTGCCTGTTATCCAAATTTTTCGGCCACCTCAGCAAATAAATTATCACCTCGTTCAGTTCAGTGTGTTTTTCTTGGCTATGCATCTGGTTATAAAGGCTATCGTTGTTTGGATCCTATCACATGTCGAGTCTATGTTAGCCGTCATGTTAGGTTTCATGAGGACACGTATCCTTTTAAAACCCTCTCGTCTGCTCCATCCCATTCTATTTCTACTACACCATCTCCTATGAATCTCACCGATATTACTCTTGACCCACCTACCGAGTTTGTTCCCACAATCACGGCCGCACCACCACCCCCCTCATTGCCACCTCGGTCACCCCTCACTCCTACCACTCCGTTTGTACCATCGCCCCATACATCCTTCCCCACGTCCACAACCAGCCCGCCACCATCACCTGTCTCCTCCCTTACTTCGTCCAGCACGCCGGAAACAGCCTCAGCCGACAATGTCTCACCCGAAACCACCTCACCTACGTCCACTACGGTAGTTAACCACCATCCCATGCAAACCCGTGTTAAGTCAGGAATTTCTAAGCCTAAACCATTTTAAATTTAAGTACGGTTATTACCTCTACAGATCCTACCTGTTTTACTGAGGCAAATAAACAATTAAAATGGCGTGAGGCGATGGCTGATGAATTTAATGCACTCATTAATAATAATACGTGGGACTTGGTGCCCTTTGATAGCTCTAAGAATATTGTTGGATGTAAGTGGATTTATAAAACTAAATATCATTCTGATGGATCCTTAGAGCGCCATAAAGCTCGATTAGTTGCACAGGGTTTTAATCAGCTGGCATGTATTGATTTCTCTGAAACTTTTAGTCCTGTCGTAAAACCCACCACTGTTCGTATTGTACTTACTCTAGCTATCTCTTTTGGGTGGGGTATACGACAACTTGATGTTAAAAATGCCTTCTTACATGGTAATCTGACAGAAGAAGTCTATATGCGGCAACCCCGTGGTTTTATTCACCCTCAATTTCCTAATCATATATGTCATCTGCGCAAGGCCATTTATGGCCTTAAGCAAGATCCACGGGCCTGGTTTCATAGATTTAGTAGCTTTCTTCTACAACATAATTTTTGCTGTAGCAAATCTGACAATTCTTT